AGTGAGGTCGAATGGTGAGTGTTTCAACTGCATATTTCATGTTATTTGATTAAATATGATTTGTTGCTAGAAATTGTTAAGCACTTGAATTGTTATTGCATAGGCGAATGTGTACTTTATCGCACTCAAGCTAACTTGACTAAACTCTTGATATCTGATTTATGCATGTACAAGTAATTTGATATACATTGACTTGTGGCTTGACTTGAAACACTTGACCTTGAAATAGTTGAAATGCTTGAAATACTTGACATGCTGAGCTTACTTAATTTGATCTTGGTTAGGTGAATGTGTACTTATTTGCACTCGACCTCTATGAAGTTGAATTATATGACCCTGCATGTGGACTTACATGTACATGTGCATGAATGTAGGTCGGCTGTATATCTCCTTGCAGCGGCTGAACTAGGCTCTTTGCTAGCACCCTTATCTGAGACATCGGGTAAACTAGACAGCCTTGAGTTACTCATGCGTATGCTTGAATGTAAGCCGGTAACGACAGAATTGGGCCCTTCGTTGGAACTAATACTTGAAATCAGCCTTAGAGTGGTTGGGTAAACTGTACAACCTTGGGTAAAGGAAGTATTTCCAAACCAGTTTACTCGTGACTTGAACTCGTCACATGCTTGAATACAGAGCGTTAGATGATAGCTAACGTCTCCAATCGTGACATGTGTGAGCATTGGGTGACAACCAACGACTTCACTTGTGAATACTTGAATACTTGGGGTTTCAAGTCCAAATAATGAATACTTGAATACTTGGGACTCTAACCTCCACCCCGTGGATAGTTGGTCGAATCGAACTGGCAAGGGTTTGGTCGAGAAGATTGACGAACCTTGGGTACTTGTTTGACGTGCGGACCCGGTATAGGGGGATGATCGTAGAAACGGAGTTGGAGATAAGTGGTAGTCTACGGACATTATAATTGGTTGACTGAGTATCAACGGCCCCTGGACATGCTACTGTGGAACCTACTCCTGAGAACAAACCATATCCTTTGACATAAATGTGTTCTTTATTATACATTATTACATGATCTATCTGGATTTGACCTGTTTCTTGATATCATGTGAATTATATCATGCCTACTAGTTTATTTGCATGATTCTTGGAGCCTCATTGGGCAAAATCTCATTCCTTTAGTTTGTTCTCCTTACGGGGGAGCGAGAACGTGAGAATGGGAGTTGAAGAATGCATAGTCTTTGTCTAAATTTTGTTAGTTGCTCGAGTGAGCACTTCTTAACTCCATGTTGGATTCGCTTGATTTTTGCTTTGTATGCTTGGAGTTTTGACTATATTTATGGATTGTTTGGGCATTTGATATCCCCAATTGTATACATCTAAGGTTGGAATTGCTGTTGCTCTTACTGTTGAGATTATTATTTTATAAATTTTATGGTGCGTGAGTGAGTCCTGTCGAGAATTGGAAAGGCGGTCCGTCAAACCCTTAGGTACGCTCTAGGGGAAGATGGGGTCGTCAGGAGTTGCAGGAGTTGTAATTGGTAATAAGTACCTACCAGTTGAAATTGTTTTGGTTTGTTAAGCACACTGAAGATTAAAATAACTAAATGGGATTCTAACCTACTAGCAATTTTTGAAATTTAAGAATCTATACAAGACGGTTGTAGATTTGAATAAAATAGTGGGTGCAAAATCAAACTCATTTTTTATGTCATTTTTACTTGATTTTGTTGTTACATAAATAGCAGTTCTCTTTTATCTTTACTACCTATAATAGAAATTATGAGTAATTGCATATTATTCTCGAATAATTAATATTTTCAAATTCTTGGATTGGCAATGTCGTGCCCTATTTTTCGCGATGAAAATGATGTTTACAAAAGATGTGATTTTTCATTTAAAAATAAGTGAAAAGGTCTAAAATAGGACTTTGAAGAATGCGACAGTTTGAACCCAAAATTTAGTCTAAAAAGGGTTTTTAAGAAAAATAGGAATTGTGACTTGGTATTGAGTTTGGATGTACCAAATCATCCAAAATGTTTTTAACAAAATTTAACTAAAATAAAATAAAAATAAAACCCTTTTCGACAATTTTAGATCTTTGAAAATAAGAAAAAGTAAGTTCGGGAGTCACGGTTGAAGAAAAAGAAGACAAAGGTTCGATTGATTCAAACCTAAGGCATTCTTTCAATCTAGTCTAAGCTAGTTGTAAGATTTAGTTAAAAAAATTTTCTTAATCTAACCCTTAAATTTATCACATTTGAATGTTTCCTACATGGACGCAAATCTAAATTTATAAAAAATATCGAAAGGGACAAAATGTCCATTCAAGGGTTTAATTGATATCAATCGCATTAATTACGAGGGCCAAAATAATCCCTTTTTTTTTTTCATTTGAAGTTTTTATTTTATTATAGCAAATCCACGAACCCAACAAATGGGAGTACATGCATATTCACACGACTACGGTCTAACCCTTCTAACCATAGGCATCCCCCAAGCATCCATTTGACAATCCCCTCTAACCAACAAAGGAAGTAAAGCCAACGTCTCATAAACCCTATCAGAGCCAGAGTCAGCTCCAACATTAGACAATCTGTCAGCCACCCTATTGACCTCTCTAAAACAATGAGTCACCGCATGTAAATGATGTCGGAATGCAATCAGCTCCTCAAACTCTCGTCGCAAAAACCAAGGAACCCTGAGCTCCCCTCGCACCATCCGGACCAAAAGCAAAGAATCAGACTCCACATGAATAGGAATAATGCCGCGTTGCACACACAGCTTCACCCCATATAGCATAGCTCTTAGTTCTGAATACAAACTAGTCACATCGCCAGAAAAGCAAGAGAAAGCAAAGACAAAGCACCCCGCCGTATCCCGCAAAATACCACCCCCGCCAGATGTACCAGGATTACCCCTCGAACAACCATCAACATTCAATTTGGGAAGGGGAATAGGCGAAGTTCTCCATTTTACCCAACGTACCGTACTCGCTCTACGACACCTAGAAGCCAACCCAATAAGCTCCTCCCAAGACAACCTATGACCCGCCAGGCAAGGAAAGCGGGCAGAGAGAATATCTCGGAGCTCCCCCACAACCCTCAAATGAATGAGATGGGAGGAAATTCCCTTACCTTCAAAAACCCTCAAATTACGAGCCCTCCAAAGGTGCCAGCAAACCAAACAAGGAAGAAATTGGAAAATCAACCGCAAACAAGGATTAGACGTGGGATGAAGCCACCATACCGCCAGCGCATGCCGCACCGTGGAAACACAGGAACGCCCACCCACCCCACTTGTAAACGAATTCCAAACTCGTTTGGGCAAATCCCCATTGCAAAAAATATGATCTAAGGTTTCTTCCGCAGGAGCTTCACAGCAGGAGCACCGAGAGGGGCCATGCACCGCAAAACGGCGAAGCGTCTCCAAGACGGTGAGCCGTGCCGCAACCAACCGCAACATGAAAAAAGACACTTTAGAGGGAAGTAACGTATGCCAAATAGCCGCAGAAAAAGCTGACCTAATAGCAGGCTGCCGCACCAACTGATAAGCAGATGCAATTGAAAACACACCCGATTCGGTTAAATCCCAAACCATCTCATCTGGCAGCTGCGAGACAGGAGGAGAGATGCCCAGAATGGATGAAACAATAGCAGGAGGGAGCCAATGACGCAACATAGAAATATTCCAACGACCTTGGTCAACAAAGTTCGCCACAGAGTGAGTCCCAAAAATCTCAACCTTGTCGCATAACGGACCAGATCCCATCCAATTCTCATGCCAAAAATCCACTGCTCCATTGCCCAAAACCCAGCAAACATGAGAATCTGCTAACGATTTGACGCCAACCAGCCTTCTCCAGATACCAGACTGCCCTCGAACCACATCTGCCTGACACGGAAGCCTGTCACTGAGATACTTAGCGTGCATGAAGGACGCCCATAAGGAGGTGTTACAGCGAAAAGACCACCAAAGCTTTAAAGAGAAAGCATCAAAAATCGACTGTAGCGATCGCAATCCAGCTCCTTCCTCCTCAACAGGCTTAGTCAGGGCTGCCCAATTAATCCAGTGAAACCGAGGGCCGAAATCCGAGTTACCCCATAAGAAACTACTAAAGATTTGTTCCAATTGGCGGACTACCCCTTTAGGGACCATAGAAGCCGCCATAATATGAATAGGAATAGAGGAGAGAACACTTTTGATCAGAACCAACTTACCACCAGACGACAACAATCTACCAGACCAGGATAACACACGCCTCGACACCAAATTGCAGAGCTCTGAGAAAAAGTACAGTTTCGCCCTCCCAACATACAACGGACACCCCAAGTACTTAATGGGAAACGACCTCTCCTGAAAACCTGTAACCCAAGCAATAGCTCGTTTACGCGCCAAAGGCAGTTTCCGATCAACAAGAAAGCAACTCTTGTGATAGTTCACCTGCTGGCCCGATATACTGCAATAGGCATCCAAAGTACGCAGGATTACTTGTAAAGAGGCCTTCAAACCGCTACAAAAAATGATGACATCATCTGCATACGCCAGATGGGTAATCGGCGGGCAACCCCTAGGAACTTTGAATGGAACAAACGCTCGAAGACCCAGTAAAGCATTTAATGACCTAGACAACACCTCTGCACCCACAACAAACAGTGCCGGTGAGATAGGATCCCCTTGCCGTAATCCCCTGGTCGACTTAAAAAACCCCTTGGGAGATCCATTAATGATCACCGAGAACCACACATTGGACACCAACCGCCAGATCATATCAATCCACCGTTCACCAAATCCAAATCGACGCAACACTTGCATTAAAAAGGGCCACGAAACCCTGTCATAGAGCTTAGCCATGTCAAGTTTGAGAACAACATTACCTCCTCGACAAGGCCTCTGAATGCCAGAAATTAACTCCTGAGCTAATAAAAAATTATCGGCCATTTGCCGACCTTGAACAAAACCACTCTGGTTAGGAGAGATAATACCCGGCAACAGCTTAGCTAGTCTCCTCGCCAGTAATTTAGAAATAATTTTATTCACAAAGGAGCACAAACTAATTGGGCGAAACTGCGAAAAATCCTGAGGAGAGCTAACTTTGGGGACAAGAACAATGGATGTGGCGGTAATACTTTTCGGTAACTCAGCTCCACCAAAAAACCGACAAACAGCTGCCAAAACATCCTCAGCAACAATCTCCCAAGCAACCACAAAAACTTCCCGGAGAACCCATCAGGACCAGCCGCACTATCCGCATCCATGGAGAAAACGACTTCCTTAACTTCCTCTAGAGAAGGGAATCGTTCTAATTCATCATTGTCCCGCTCAGTCACCACTTTGGGGATCACATCTAACCCATGAAAATTATTCGTACCCGACTGATCCGAAAACAAGCCCTGAAAAAAACTAACAGCCTCTCTCCCAATATCCTCTTCACTGCAAAGCCAATCCCCGCCAGAAGATTTAATACGATGAATAACGGATTTACTCCTACGTTCAGCCACCGTTGCATGAAAAAATTTTGAATTTTTATCCCCATCCGCTAACCATCTGATTCTCGCCTTCTGCCGCCAAAACGAATCCTCATTTGCCTGCGCCTGAATCAGCCTAGCCCGCCGCTCACTTAAACAAATTTGATGCTGAACCGAAGGGTCCTCATCAAAACAATTTTCCGCCTGTATCACCTCCTGCTCTGCCACCTTAACCATCTCAAAAATATCTCCAAATTCATGCTTAGACCATTCCCGCAGCACTTTCTTCAACTTTCGCAGCTTAGCTGCCAAGACATATAGAGGGTCACCCATAAAATCCACCTGCCAATTATGCCGAATGACCTCCAGGAAACTCTGATGAGACGTCCAACAATTCAAAAACCGAAAAGGCTTGGGCGAGTTATCCAAACGAGAAGACGCCGCCATCAATAAAGGTGCATGATCAGAAGGAGCCCTACCCAAGTGCAGGACCTCGTACATAATCCCCAAATCCAAAGCAAGTTGATCATATAGCAACCTGTCTAACCTTTTCCAAATACGAGCCTGACCCTGTCTATTATTACACCATGTAAATCTGGACCCTGAAAAACCCGCATCCAACAAGCCAGCAGAGGACATAAACGTCAACAAATCACCCCCCTCCCAATTTCTAAATGGACGACCCCCTCTCTTTTCATCATCTGCCACAATCACATTAAAGTCACCCATCACAAACCATAGAAGTGAAACAGATCTATCCTCTAGCAACCCAGCCCAAAGCGCTTCACGGTCCACCACCGTCCATTTAGCATGGGCAAAGGAAAATATAACGGGAGCCACAAATAAAGTAGACTGAATTTGAACCGACACATGCTGATCCGACTCCCCCACTACATTACAAGAAACTGATCTATCGTAGAAAACCCATACCGAACCACAACTATTAACTATAACCGAGTCCATACTAAGCTTCAACTTAATAGAGTTTACATTAGATGGGGTAGGAGCCAGTTTCGGCTCACACACAGCAACCACCGGAATGTTGTACTGACGAATTAAATGTTTTAACCTACGTAAATTAGGAGCGCGAGACACCCCACGAATATTCCAAAAAAGGTAATTAATCATCAGATAGTGCAGAAAAAGAGTTAGAGGAAACTTTACTCTTAGAGCGCAACTGACGGTCAGACGGAAACATAGCACGCACACCATTGTGCTTCCGATGAGAAACCAACTGGAAATTCTCCTCATGCTGCAAATCTGTTTGGACCTTTTGAATGATCGGGTCCAAGTTGAATATATCCACAACCAGGGACCCATGTAGAGCTTGAATGTGGTCGGAGCTTTGCCGAGGAGACAAACTCCCTCCTACAACTTCCGCTTGCCTAACCTGCACCTCGTCTATCACCTCATGCAGCTCAAATTTCTGCAGGTCACCAGCCCTGTTATCAGCCAACGGAACCTTCAGCATAGCCGACTCAACAGCCTGCTCCTCCATCACCCCACCTGCTGGAACATCCACTGACACACTAGCACCAATGCAAGGCTCCGCGCCAATCACCAAAGGAGTCAGACCAGCCCCCGACTGTTGCACAGGAGAGTCCGCAGCTCCCCTGACCAATTGCGAGACTCCCATATCAGCCGTCCCCACAAGTTGCTCATCAGGCTCCAGGGGAAGAGAGCTAGATGGGAAATCCCCCGCCACTTTAGAACCCACACCTGGTGAATTCCCCCCAAGGGCAGGATCCAAAGAACGATCCTCCATGGTGGAGTTCTTCTTTGGACTGAACTGCAACTGCACAGGCCGCTTCTCTGCACCAGACTTGACCACATCAGGAGGCCTTTGTTTTAGAGCTGGGTTCAGAACATGACACTCAGCTTGAGTATGTCCCTGCCGAAAGCAATGGCAGCAGTACTTGGGGAGGATTTCTGGGATTAACGTTTGCCAAAACCCATCGCAGTCACCATTACCAATCCACACTCGCGGAGGCAGCGGTTTGAGCAAATCAATCTCTACACACACTCTTGCAACACTTGGGCGAGACCCAGCCATAGTAGCAGCATCCATAAAAAGGGGAATCCCCAGGACACTCACAATCTGAAAGAGGCAATCTTTGTGGAAGTAATGCAAAGGCAGTTTAGGAAGTTGGAACCACACCGGTACCACGGAAGGCTCCTTGTCCACATGGAAGGATGGTGCCCACTTAAAAACCCTCATAGGAGACCCAGAAACATACCAGATCCCTCTAGACCACATTCTATGAAAGTCAGCTTCGTTTCCCATCTTGAGCAGAACATGCCTGGAATCTAGCAGACCAACAGAGGCCATCTCCTTCAAGTCTAGCGTTTTCATGAATTTTCGTAAGTTCTCCATGGACGGACGTCCCTTGGAGAATTTCCCCACCAAAGCAAATTTATATGGAAGTGCAAGGGAGGTGAGATCTGCTTGAGAGAAAACCACAGCCGGTTCCCCTCAATGAGTCGTCTGCGATGCTCTAACCGAGAGAGCCGGCCTATCCGAAGAGTTGTGGAAGAGATCAGAAAAGGACTTGCGCTGGAACGAAGGAACGGAGGAGGGTTGCCCCCCAACCTCAGGCTGGAGGGCAGCCATATTGTCCATAGAAGCAGGAATAAACCCTAGTAATGCAGCGGAAGAGAACGGCGCCGAAAATACTCTCAAAATCTACTCAGAAAAAGTTCCAAAATAATCCCTTAAGGGGGTCATGAGTACGCAAAAATGAAATTCGAGAAAAAGAGAATTAAATTACATATAGATATAAGTGATCAAGAAAAAAAGGGATGCAACATAATGGGTACGAGATGCAAAACTTGTGACATAATTTTTCTTATATAGGGATTAACGGGCTATTTAAACCAAAGAGTTATAATTGCCCATTTTCCATGTTTGAAGAGTAATTCTCCTAACCTAGACAAGTAAATAAACTAACTTATTTTACAATTTCTCAAATGAGATACAATGCTAAATGATATGATTAACACATATAGAGGGTAAGGGATCATATAATAGGGAATACCATGCAGATGAGAAAAAAAATCCTAAAATAAAAAAATATGCATGAAAATATAATGAATGTCACACAAAAGATAAATCTAACGCGTGAACGACCTAAGAGTCTAACGTTGGACTAGTCCATTTTTAAAAGTTCTTACTAGCATTGGACTAACAAGTAAACGGAGGGAAAAACCACAATTAGCGTTGGATCAGTGTGGTGACGTCATGCATTTATAATATATAGTAAAACAAATAAGGCATAAATAAAAACAAATAAACATGTATGTGCACGTAGCACATAACACATAAACATAATATCTAGATGCAAAAATTCGAAGAAAAGCGGATAAAGCATATAAACACATAAACCACATAAACATACAAAACCTATCTATTATAGCGGGAAGTCTAACTACAATCTAAAATGGAAAAATATAATAAAATAAACCTATTTATTCTATCTATTACAATAGAGGACCTAATTGCAATCTAAAATAGAAAAATATAATGAAATAAACCTATCTATCTTATCTATTACATTAGTCTATCTAATTACAATTTTTCAAAAATATTACCTATCTATTACATCTTAAGGTATTTAAATATCTTCCAGATAATTATAAGAAAATTTGAATGAACATTTGAATTAAATAAATAACAAAGCATGTAAAAATATATAAACATATAGGAGCACATAAGAGCACGTAATTGAAATTTAAATGATAATAAGGGTACCTCCTTTTGAAATGGTAACTAAATAGAGTCATATTGCGCTATTTATACTCAAAATGAACAAAAGAATCATGACATCAATTTAATTGGAAATAATAGTAATATAAAAGTACTAAACTCATATTAATATGTCAAATATAAAGAAACTTTAGGACATTTAAAAATTACAAGTTGAATACATTCAAGAGTAACATAATTATCTATTGAAGAAAAGAAATAATCATAATAGAGAGAGTCAAAAAGTCACTAGGGACTAAATTATAGAAATTAGAAAGTTTTTGGATCAAAAATATAATTTTTCAAAAGTTTTGGGGTCAAAATTAAATCAAGATAAAGTTCTGGGATCAAAATGCAATTAAATTAAGGAATAAAATGAAAGAAATTTAAAATTTTGGGGCCACAATAAAACTACTCAAAAAATCATGGGCTAAAGTACAAAATTTGTTCCTGATTTGGGTAAAGCACAACCAAACGAAATTGGGCAATTTATTTTTGCTTGGGCTGGACTGCTTTGGCCAAAAGAAAAATGCAGGCTATTTCATTAAAAACAAAAGCAAACCCAAGTGGAAAATAACCCTAGAACCCAAACGAAAGCCTGGAAAAAAACTCTAACCCAAATGAAATTAAAGAAACAAGCCCACAAAAAATAAAAAAAACCAGCCCAATATTTCTTTCTTTTTCCTTCTTTTCTTCTTCTTCTTTTTTTTCTTCTTTTTCTCCGACGAGACATGGCCGACGGCGATCTCTCCGATCACGAAATATCACAGAAATACACACCCCAATTCAATTTTTTTTTGCGTAAAATCCGTTTTTGGGTTTAATTTTACAAAAAATGAACCAAAAGTGATGAAATTTCCAAAAAAAAAATCCAATTTTTATTCTTTAAAACACTATAATCACCACCAAAATTCATAAATTTTATAATACACTCCTTATGATTCTAACAATATAACTATGGCATGAAATCAATAAAAAAACAACAACAATATGACAAATTAAAGCAAAACAGTCCAAAAAAAAATATTCACATGCTTCTAAGGTTCAAAACTTCAAAATATTTGAACAACCCAATGTTTTTTAGGCCTTGCACTAGCCATAACCATCTATTTTAGCAAGAACATACACACTCAATTTAGTCTTTCAATTCATTTTTTCGCTCAGACATTTTCTCAAACAAATTATATGCATAATTCTGGCCTATACAATCCATGGAACTTAGGCAGACTTAGACTCCACATTTTCACCAACAAATTACTATAACAATCCGTAGCAACTCATATGAAACATTTCATTTAAAACCACAAGCATAAAAGAAAGAGAACAAGAAGAAAAAGAGAAAAGAGAAAAAAAATGAAGAGCAAGGATAAAGAAAACAAGATGTTTGGGTAAGACAATGAGGCAAAAAAATCACCTTGTTTTCGTCGTAGAAAAAGACAAACCGATAGATGGTGGTGATAATGGTTCGGACTCGGTGATAGTATCCACGTCTTTCACCTTCTCTTTTCTTTCTTTTCTTTGTGTGACTTGTGAGATTAAGAGAGAGCCGAGATTAGAGTGAGGGAGATGATCAGAAATTTTTGCTAGTTTGTGTCTTGTGTTTTAAAGAAAAAAAAAAAGAGAGTCAGAGAGGGAGAGCGAGCCGAGAGAATCAGGGGAGTTGGGGGTTTTATTGCCTTTTTCTTGTGTCTTGTCTTCTTGAACCAAAAAGGCGAAAAAACTGACAGACAGAGAGAGAGCCTAGAGTTCAGAGATTCAGGGAGAGGGTTTGGAGTTGTTATTGTGCTAGTGTGTTGATGAGACCAAAAAAGAGAGAGTCGAGGGAGAGTCAAAGAAAAAAATGGGTAGAGTAGTTGTGTAAAAATGATGAATTTCTGTCCCAAATGAAAAGAAAGGTCAATAGAAATTGAGTCTAAAATGGGTTAATAGTGGTTTTGGTAGGGGAAAATGATGAGAGAGTGTAATTTTTTTTCTTTTTCTTTTGTTTTGTTTGTTTTTTGTTTCTTTTCTTGAAACAAACCTACAAAATGGAAAAAATACACATTAAAATGTAAAAATAAATAACTCATTACATAGATAAAATTCAATAAAATTGACAAAATTTGACAAAAATTTGGTGTATACAACATGCCCCTCTTGTCTTGACTTTTTGTATAGAGTTTCGAAAAAAACTCAAGATAAAGACGTAGACACCAAATTGTTTACCTGTCTTTTCTGATTG